CATGCAGCCCCGTAGCAGCAAGAACAGATTCCGCCAGCCAGTAGACTAGAGGGGGTTTATTGCTTCTCCAGGATACAGCACAGCACAGACGTGATGTGGCTACAGGAGTTTGGGCCAGGATGCCTCAGACCCCTTGAGATGGGGTGCCTGGGCCCTTAGATGCCTGCCCCCCTCCTTAGTCTGTCTCCTTCATGATCCCAGCCAGAAACTGCCTCACTCCCAGACCCTGCCCCCAAACCAGCTGTTCGTCTCCGCCTCCCTCCCTTTGTCTCTCCCCTGGGGAAAGAGCCTTGTTATCTGCCCAGGCTGGGACTAGGTGTCTGGGCCAATAAAATGTTGTGAGTGGGAATCACACATCACAGCACAGAGGGACCCCAGGTTGCAGAGCAGACAGCCCCCCCCACTACGCCACACCTGGCAAGTAGAAACCACAGCACCACGTCTCAGAGCCTGAGTCGGGCCCATGCAAACGCGCTTCGAACAGCCATGGAGGTGCTGGGGCTGGCGCCCGCATGATAAACCTGGGATGGCTTCACGGCCCCACTGCAACATGAGCCAGACACGCCAGATGCCGAGGAGCCAGGCTCAGACACTGCCGCGGGTGTTGCTGCTTGCTATGGAGATGTACCCCCCCAGACCATATGTATCTCCCGAAATAGTGCATAGTGGGGGACACAGACATGTCCGGGAAGGAACCACCCAGACCCACAACCAGGCGAGTGATTTGGGTGCTTGCTAATGGACGGTAACTCCCTACTGCAGCAGTCTTCAAACTTTTCGCATCTGCGGACCCCTAATGCATTTCGAATGGAGGAGCTCGCCCCTTTTGGAATCGTAGGCACAGTCGGTAGCCCCGTGCTCAGGGATGTCCACAAGGCTGTAGATACCATGAATGCCTGTGCAGGCTCGGGCCAGACAGAGCTGGCTGGGAACATTTTCCCACCCCATGGCAACGTTCAAGAAACATTTTTCCCACTTTGAATCAGGAGAGACTCTGGAAAGTGTCCCCGAGCTGGAAACCCCAAGTGCTCCCTTGTGATTGGAAATAGCTGTTTACTAGAACTAGCTTAGCTGTCAAAAAAAGCCATTTGGAAGCCGAAAGCTGCAATTTTATCATTTCAAGACTGTTGAAATGCAACGTTTTGACAATTTCAAAACCTGGGTTTTTTCCAAGCTGAAAACGTAATCGCAGCTGAGGCAACATAGCAAACAAGCTTTGTTTCAGATGAAATGGCATTTCCCCCTTCCCCCCAAAAACGTTTCCTCCTGAGCTAGTGGGGGAGGGGAGGATGGGTAGGGTCTCCCAGATCTAGATTTTAACCAGGATTTCCAGAAGTGACTCGTGGCTCCGAGTGTCGAGTGTCGGACTGGAGACACCGCAGGGGGGATTATCACCTCTAATACCATTAGCTCACAGACATTTACCTTCCCCCCCCCATCCTCCTTCTGTTCTGCAATGTGATTTGTCCTTTTCATGTGTGTTCATTTTTTTAATTGTATCCTTTGGTATATATGGTTGTGACAATTTTCTTCCACTATTTGAACTGAGGAAGTGGGTCTGGCCCACGAAAGCTCATCACCTAATAAACCATCTTGTTAGTCTTTAAAGTGCTACATAGTCCTGGTTTTTTTTTCACAAGGGGGATGGCTCCCAAAGGGTCACTTTTGACAGTGCCTGGGACCCTGAGTGGATCGCCCCAGTGCACAGACAGGCCTGGGAGACTATTCCTTGGATACACTGAGAGCTGCAGAGCTGGGTGTGTCAGAGCCAGGGACCAGGCTGAGAGAGGGGGATGTTCCATAGGAACAGACCCTAGGCTTGGCTACATCCACGCTAGGAGGGTGGCAGGAGAAACCCGCTGATTCTCTGCCAGCCTGGGGAGCGGAAGGCGCTCAGTCAAACAAACCCGCGAGCGGTCTCAGGACGATGCTGCTACACTGGGCCCAGCCAAGCAGACAACGTATCAAGTAGAAACTGGGCAATTCCTGCAACATTTCTCACACCTTAGGGCAGTGAGGTCTAGTAGTGAGAACCGGAGTCCCTAAGGAACTCTGGGGCAAACCCCCGAAACTCGCGGTGCCTCCATCCCCTGGAATGCAAAACTGGGATCGAGCTTGTGTGTCGCGCCTGTCACCATAGTACCTAGGGCTTTGATTTTACAAATCATGGGCCGTACCGACTCCTGGTGGGACCCACTATGCCACTGATGTAACCACTGGGATGCATTTGGCCTCACCGAGAGATTTATGGTGGTAAAGAACTTGGAGCTAACTAATCCACCAGGGGCAATACCCCTGCATGCCCCCAGAGAAAGACAAGATCTCCTGCGCCCAAGGTGGGTGGGAGAACCAAAACCATTGACGTAAATTGACAAAAATACACAGCATTTTATTTCATCTCCAAGCCAATGAAAATATACATCTGGCAGTACCAATGGCAGAGAAACATGTGCAGCAGTGGGGGTAGGGGGAGTCGGGAACCCTTCCCCAGTAGCTTACAGTAGGACTGCACACAGTAAGGGATGGGACACACGGCAGACTCCACTGGGCAGCAGCAGCAGCTGGGTAGGGGGAGGGGACCACAAGCAGCTTTAGAGCGCCCAGGAAAATCCAGGGGAGAGATCGCCACTATTAAAGCTGAAAAACGGAGCAGACTTTAGCCCACTCCCCCACTGGCGGCCCAAGGCAGGTTTGCTCCTGGGATATTCTTGTGCTGGCTGCTCTCAAACACTGCACAGGTCGGAACACACTCCTCTCCCAAGCAGGGCTGGGAAAGGGCACTGCAGAGGGCAGGTTCCCCTGTGAGCCCAGCGTGGCCTCCCGCGCAGACCTGCGACGTGGTGTGCTGGACCGGCGCTGCGCCCACCCGTGCGAAGAGCAGAAAAACGCCAGCTGAAGGCACCCTGCACCTGGCCTCTGCTTGGTTTCAGACACATCCCACAGCTTTCTGCCCTATTTCGGGTGCCCTGTCGCCCTGCCACGTGGCTGCTGTCTGTACTCCACTCCCCCACACACCAAAGCAAACGGCAAAGCAAGGGGAGAGTTTCTAGAGCTTCCCGGCCGCCGTGTCCCGTCCCTGACCTCCAACGAGGCGGCTCCCTCTGAGCTGGCTTTGGCCAAAGGGCCTCAGCGCGGTGACCGAGAACATGGCGCCCGACGCAGAGCCGGGTTAGCTCTGGTCAGCCAGCTGGGCAGCGTTCACACCCCCC